TTGAGGTGGGTTGTCATCCACCAGTTCCTTTCCAAGACCTGAAAAAATATATATATATAGATATAGGGGTGAGCATATAGCTCAGCAGGTGACACTTAAGACACAATTCTTGTGTCCTAGTGAATCCAAATAAAGCATAGGTCAATGGGAGATTGGGGACATGCATTGAAGGGGAAAAATAATTACAAGTACAAGTCAAATTCAATCACACACAAATGCAAATGGAGTGAGATGCAATGCATGTTAAAGTCACTCCCCGTTTTCACTCTCAAAACCATCACGTTCAAAGTTAATATAACCCCCATTGGTAACCCCGTCGCGACGAGAGGAGGATTGGCTACCGTCCCTAGGCCCTTGGTGACCCCGTGGCGCCGTCGAGGGGCCCGAATAGCTCAACCACGCTAGGGTACTCTCCCTAGTCCTCCCTAGGCTACATTAACCTCCGGCCCGTTGGTAACCCCGCAGCGACCGGGTTTGTAACCAATTTTCTTTTTTTCAAAATATTCATTCCCAAATCCCCATTTTCATTTCAAGACAACCACTTCCCTTTTTCATGCAACCCAATAAGATGTAGGCTCAGGTCATGATCTCAATATAATGACAAATGGGAACTTAGCACAATAATAAATAAGCATGTTCTCATGGCATCATTATAGCATGTTAGTAACCTCAAAAAAAAATATAAACAACCATCACATAGACATACTTTTCATTCAACCATGTTATACACATTTACATAACTAGCATGTTGTCAATTAAATCATTTTAATCAAAATCAACAACAATTAAACATGCTATAACACACATAGAGGAGCATGATTCATTATAGAGTAAGATTCCATGGCTTAAGATGTCCCTACCTCACAATCCAAGCCGAAATCCCTAGAATATGTCCTCCAAATTTGAGCTCCAAGGAAGACTCAAATCTGGAAATTGATAGTATGGATGCGTAGAGCTCGCTACAAGCTTCGTTTCGCCTCAAACGGTTTCTAAATCCGATGAAAGATGATTGAGTAATCAAACCTCAAAGTTTTTGTCTCCAAAATGAAAGAAAAAGAGAAGGAACCGAGAGGGAGAGAGAGCATACGGGAAAGAGAAAGAAAATGAGAAAGAAAAGAAGATTTCTTGGCCAAATAAGTTAGTGGTGGGCCCCACTTGAAATTATTTTCCTTTTCTCTTTATTTTTTTTTTTTGTCTCTAATTACACCACAAATACACAATTGCACCATACAAATGCTACATCACCACATAAATTAAAATGTAGGAAATGTAACTGGACCCAACCACAAACCCGGATGGTAAAGTGAAAAGACGAAAATGCCCTTGCATTAACGAATTTTCAGAAAATTCTAAAATGCTGAAAATTAGAATTATCACAATCTCCCCAACTTATAAGGATTTCGTCCCCGAAATCAAGACATACCTGAGGAAGAAAACAACACTGGGTGCTTGGACCGAACCTCCTGTTCGAGCTCCCAAGTAGCCTCCTCGACTCCGTGGTGTCTCCAAAGGACTTTCACCATTGGTATCGTCTTGTTCCTCAACACCTTCTGCTGAGTGTCAAGGATCTGAACTGGTCCTTCCTTGTAGGAAACATCCTTATCAATATCCACATCAACCCAACTCAAAATGTGAGATGGATCCGACTCGTACTTTCGTAACATCGATACATGAAAGACATTGTGAACTCTGTCTATCTGTGGTGGTAAAGCAAGTCTGTAGGCAACCTCTCCTACCCGATCCAAAATCTCGAATGGTTCAATAAATCGTGGCGATAACTTGCCACTCTTCCCAAATCTCATCAACCCCTTCCGTGGAGAAACCCGTAGAAAAACGTGGTCTTCCACCTCAAAGGATAACGGTCGTCTCCGCTTATCCGCATAGCTCTTCTGTTGGCTCTGAGCTGTAAGTAACCTCTGTCTTATCAACTTAATCTTCTCAGTAGTCTCGAGTACAATGTCGGGTCCTAAGGCGGCTGTCTCGCCTACCTCAGTCCAACAAACAGGAGACCTACAAGGTCTACCATACAACGCCTCAAATGGAGCCATCTGGATACTCGCCTGATAACTGTTGTTGTAGGCAAAGTCAATAAGTGGAAAGTGATCCTCCCAACTACCTCCCAAATCAAGTACACATGCCGGAAGCATATCCTCCAAAATCTGGATAGCACGCTCTGACTGACCGTCTGTCTGTGGATGGAATGCCGTACTAAGATGCAACGCTGAACCAAACGCTGCTTGAAGTCCTTCCCAGAACTTCGAAGTGAACTTAGCATCCCTATCTGACACAATGGTTACAGGGACTCCATGTAACCTTACAATCTCTTTCACATAAAATACACCAAGCTTCTTTACATCGTCTGTTGCCTTAATAGGCAAAAAGTGAGCCGTCTTGGTCAATTTGTCAATGATGACCCATACGGACTCATTGCCCCTTCGTGACCTTAGAAAACCTGTTACAAAATCCATAGCGATATGCTCCCATATCCATTGCGCTACAGGTAATGGTTGCAACAAACCTGCTGGCCTCTGATGCTCGGCCTTCACCTGCTAACAGGTAAGGCATCTAGCCACAAACTGTGCAACATCATTTTTCATCCCGCTCCACCAATACTGGCGTCTCAAATTGTGATACATTTTAGTACCACCTGGATGAATTGCAAAACGGGAAGTGTGAAACTCCCATAGGACATCCTCACGACATACTGTGGGAACCACCAACAAACCCCTGAACCGTAGACCCCCATCTGCATGCAAGGCCCAATCTTTCACTGTCTCACCACTAGAGATCAAAACGTGGATGGCATCTAAGTCCGGGTCCTGTCTCTGTGACTCAATCACTCGTACAACAAGAGTAGGCTGAGCCACAAGACTAAATAACATCATTATCAAAACACTGTAATCCCATCTCTGCCAGATCTTCAAGCATCTTCCACTTCCGAATAGCTAAACTGGCCAAAGTTCCATGAGATTTTCGGCTTAAGGCATCAGCTACAACATTTGCCTTGCCCGGATGATACTGCAAATCAAAGTTGCAATCTTCCAAGTACTCAACCCATCGTCTCTGTCTATTGTTCAAGTCCTTTTGGGAAAAAAGGTACTTGAGACTTTTGTGATCTGAAAATACCTCGAATCTCTCACCATACAAGTAATGTCTCCAACACTTCAAGGCAAATACAACTACCGCTAACTCCAGGTCATGAGTAGGGTAGTTGTATTCGTGAGTCTTCAACTGTCGAGACCCATAAGCCACTACTCTACCACCCTGCATTAACACACATCCCAACCTGTCACGTGAAGCATCACAATAGATCACATAACCCAAGCCATGCTCAGGTATCACCAACACTGGCGCTGTAGTCAATCTCGTTTTCAACTCCTGAAAAGATGAATCACAAGCCTCATTTCAGACAAACTTGACCCCTTTCCGGGTCAAACGGGTCATAGGAGCTACCAAACGGGAGAAATCCTTCACAAATCTCCGATAGTAATCCGCTAAACCAAGAAAACTGCGGATCTCAAACACATTCTTGGGTCGCTCCCAAGTCAAAACTGCTTCAACCTTTGATGGATCAACTGATACTCCACCTTCTGAAATAACATGCCCCAAAAACTTCACCTCCTGTAGCCAAAACTCACATTTCTCGTATTTGACATACAATCGGTGCTCCCGCAAAATCTGTAAAACAATACTCAAATGGACCTCGTGATCTTCCCGAGTCCGTGAGTACACAAGAATGTCATCCACGAAAACTACCACAAACTGGTCCAAGTAATCGTGAAAGACACTGTTCATCAAGTCCATGAATGCCGCTGGCGCAATAGTCAAGCCAAAAGGCATAACAAGGAACTCATAGTGTCCATACCGTGTACGGAATGCTGTCTTCGGGATATCCTCATCCCTAACCCGCAACTGATAATAGCTAGACCTCAAGTCAATCTTCGAGAAACAACTGGCTCCCCTCAATTGATCAAATAAATCATCTATCCTTGGCAAATGATACTTGTCTTTGATGGTGGCATGATTCAACTTCCGGTAATCAATGCACAACCTCAAAGATCCATCTTTCTTCTTAGTAAATAAGACCGGTGCGCCCCACGGTGACACACTCGGTCGGATGAAACCTTCATCCTCAAATCATCAAGCTGCCTCTTCAATTCTTCTAATTCAACTGGGGCCATTCGATATGGTGCCATAGAAATCGGCGCGGTACCTGGCATCAAATCAATAGAGAACTCTACTCCTCGGTGTGGAGGCAACTCTGTCAAATCCTCCGGAAACATGTTCAGAAAATCACAAACAACCGCAGGATAATCCTCTTTCCCAACATCATCTTCTTCGGCTATAAGGCTAGCCAAGAAGTAATCACCATGACTTCGTCCACGAACTCCATAAAACGATGAAATGTGGGAATTACTCCGATCTCCCACGAAAAAGAAACAGTCTCCCTCGGAAGTGCAAACTGTAACCCTTCCTCTGTAACAGTCGATTGTGGCATGAAATGAAGCCAACCAATCCATCCTGAGAATGACATCAAAATTAGTCATCTCCAGGAGGATAAGGTCAAACACGAAAGTCCGCCCGACTATCACAATGGGACACTCTCGCACAATTCGGCTCAAAGACACTGAAACCCCAACTGGCGTATCAACACTCAACGCCCGTTCCAAGAAACTAACTTCCAACCCCGATGCAAGTGCAAATGATGATGAAATAAAAGAATAAGATGCACCAGAGTCAAACAAAACACGGGCCCAACAACCAAACACTGGAAATATACCTCGAAGAACTGACGGTCCAGAAGATGCATCGGTCTGTGCCAGTGTAAAAACACGTCCTTGTGGTACCTGTGCCTGAGGACTGCCAACCTGAACACCTGACTGCTGCACTGACATAGTAGGAGTATCCCTCCTAACTGACCGTGAACCCTGTGAAGACATGGCAGGTTGTGGTGGTGGCGGTCTAAAACCTGACTGAACTGTAGCCGACTGAGACGGCCTCTATCGTGACCCCCTACCACTACCTGTGCCTGCTCCCTGGCCTGGACAATCACGAATCAAGTGACCCTGCTGGCCACACCCATAACAAGCCTTTGGAGCTGACGAAACTGAAGACGATCTCATCGGACAACTGGACTTGTAATGCCCAGGCTGCTGACACTGATAACAAACAACTGCACTCCTGTCAGATCCAGCTGGCATAGGAGTGGTAGGAGCAGATCTTGTAGATTGTTGTCCTTGAAACTGAGGTGAACCACCCTTATTCTTCTTCCAAGAAGATCCCTCTGAAGATAGCCCTGCACCCCTCTTTTGCTTCCATTGTTCTCTTCTTGCATCTTTCTCTTTATTATCAGCCTCCAACATCAAAACCCTTTCCACTGCTTTAGAATAAACCTTAATGAACTGTGCCATGATCAACGGCCTCATCCGATCATTAAGACCGGAAACAAACTTCCGAGTCTTATTAGCTTCATCTCTCACCACTTCTAGAGCAAAACGAGAGAGTGAGGTGAACTTGTTTTCATACTCCGCCACTGACATGTTCCCTTGAATAAGATTATGAAACTGGTCTTGTAACTACCATATTTTGGAAAGCGGAAAATACTTCTTATAAAACAGCTCCTTGAACCTGTCCCAACTCATCTCTTCAATCTTGTACTGGTTGGTGATCGACTTCCACCAAACCTTGGCATCCATCGCAAACTTGTAAGTTGCTAGGATGATCTTCAAGTGATCCTCTGTCACATCCATTGAGGTTAGTTGGGTTTCAACTTGATCCAAGTAGTCATCTGCTACCATTGGATCCGCACTGCCCTCAAACACTACCGGCATCAACTGAGAAAACCCTTTTGTGATCTTAAGACGCTTCTGAGCTGGCGTCTCCTCAACTTGAACTGTAGGTTGTGGTGCCGACTGCGACTGAGCAGCAATCGTTGCCCTCACGACATTTTGCAACAAACGATTAAACTCTAGTGCCACAGAACCTTCACCCACTTCTACGGGTATGGGTGTTTCAACATTCTCTCTTCTTGGGGGAACAGCTCTTGGGGGAATCAAGTCCCTAAGAAGCATGTTCTCATCATTTAGCTCCTCCGGATTGGAGCTGGAGCTCTCACCAACATCACCCCTTGTTGGCCTAGGGCCAACTTCTCTAGGTTCCTCACGCCGTGACATCGTGCTATAAAACGAGAAAACGACTCAGAAACATGACACTAAGACTGTGGACGACTCAACAAGAATTGATACCGTACAACACTTAGCATGCAAGACTATGCAAGAAACATTTTAACATAAACAAGTAAGCAGTAAGCACATAGGCAGTTAAGCATGCTTATTTAAGTAAAATATCACGTAGCAAGTAGTCAAGTAAGCAACACAATCAACATTCCATGTGACTCTAAGTAGGCCTCTACCCGTCATCCTAAAGGTTTTCGAACCTTTGCTCTGATACCAAATTTGTAACGACTCAAAACTAATACTTTAGTTATATTACATGACAAAGTTCCACAAAATAATTATACATCTTTGCACTTCTAGTGTTTTACAAAATAATGGGGAATATACAAAGATACAAAAGTGAACTTCTAACGCCGTTCAAGCTTGAGGTGGGTTGTCATCCGCCAGTTCCTTTCTGAGACCTGAAAAAAAATATATATATAGATATAGGGGTGAGCATATAGCTCAGCAGGTGACACTTAAGACACAATTCTTGTGTCCTAGTGAATCCAAATAAAGCATAGGCCAATGGGAGATTGGGGACATGCATTGAAGGGGAAAAATAATTACAAGTACAAGTCAAATTCAATCACACACAAATGCAAATGGATTGAGATGCAATGCATGTTAAAGTCACTCCCCGCTTTCACTCTCAAAACCATCACGTTCAAAGTTAATGTAACCCCCATTGGTAACCCCACCGCGACGAGAGGAGGATTGGCTACCGTCCTTAGGCCCTTGGTGACCCCGTGGCACCGTCGAGGGGCCAGAATAGCTCAACCACGTTAGGGTACTCTCCCTAGTCCTCCCTAGGCTACATTAACTTCCGGCTCGTTGATAACCCCGCAGCGACCGGGTTTGTCAAAACCAATTTTCTTTTTTTCAAAACATTCATTCCCAAATCCCCATTTTTATTTCAAGACAACCACTTCCCTTTTTCATGCAACCCAATGAGATGTAGGCTCATGTCATGATCTCAATATAATGACAAATGGGAACTTAGCACAATAATAAATAAGCATGTTCTCATGGCATCATTATAGCATGTTAGTAACCTCAAAAAAAAATGTAAACAACCATCACATAGACATACTTTTCATTCAACCATGTTATACACATTTACATAACTAGCATGTTGTCAATTAAATCATTTTAATCAAAATCAACAACAATTAAACATGCTATAACACACATAGAGGAGCATGATTCATTATAGAGCAAGATTCCATGGCTTAAGATGTCCCTACCTCACAATCCAAGCCGAAATCCCTAGAATAGGTCCTCCAAATTTGAGCTCCAAGGAAGACTCAAATTTGGAAATTGATAGTATGGATGCGTAGAGCTCGCTACAAGCTTCGTTTCGCCTCAAACGGTTCCTAAATCCGATGAAAGATGATTGAGTAATCAAATCTCAAAGTTTTTGTCTCCAAAATGAAAGAAAAAGAGAAGGAACCGCGAGGGAGAGAGAGCATGCGGGAAAGAGAAAGAAAATGAGAAAGAAAAGAAGATTTCTTGGCCAAATAAGTTAGTGGTGGGCCCCACTTGAAATTATTTTCCTTTTCTCTTTTTTTTTTTTTTTTTTTTTTTTTTTTTTTTTTTTTTTTTTTTTGTCTCTAATTACACCACAAATACACAATTGCACCATACAAATGCTACATCACCACATAAATTAAAATGTAGGAAATGTAACTGGACCCAACCACAAACCCGGATGGTAAAGTGAAAAGACAAAAATGCCCTTGCATTAACGAATTTTCAGAAAATTATAAAATGCTGAAAATTAGAATTATCACATGTCCATTAAAATAATATAAATTTTCAAAAACAAAATTACTCTTATATTACCTTCTCGTATCGATCCTACCATAAATTTTGTCAAAACACTCTCCCTCTCCTTATATATATATATATATATATATATATATATATAGATGTTTAAGAATATGTAAAATTATATAGATGGATGTAAAAGAATATACAAATTTCTCAAAACATAAAAAAATAATATAACAAGATGTATTTTACTATATATATGTAAGAAATTTTATATAAATGAAAATGCCCTCCCTAAAATTTTAAATTTCTAAAAATATATGATAAATTTTTGTTGTACTTTTTAAATTCTTTTGATTCCTTATTAGAAAAAATGTTATATTCCATTTTTTAGTTATAAATTTTTGTGTCTTTTCCATACATTTATTTTGAAATTGATTTATGCTTGTCACTGTTTTTATTACTTCTTAAAGGAGGGGCATGGGTTCAAGTCTCCGAATAGACATATGTGTGAGTCCAATTAGAAAGGAAAAAAAAAAAAAATGACTAATGCTAATTAAATTAATGAAAAGCATGGGGTAGTTGATTTTTTTCTTTTTTCTTTTTTAATAAAGTATATTACACTCCTTGAAATCCTGACTATGCCTTGATCAACACTCTTATGCAGGAAACCAATAATAGGCTGAATTGGCTCTTCAATAAAAAACCCTCCTCATCAAGTTTTCTAATGCGATATATTTGTGTATCGGGAGTCAATGATGGCAATGGAGAAAATGGTGAGAAAAGAAAATAAAAAATGGTTTGACTATGGGATAGAGATGGATGATGAGATATATTATTGATAATTGAGATATTGTAATGATAGTTGTCTTTAAAATTTTATTTTTCCAAGTGTAGGATAGCTAGCTATAGTAATACATCATTATCGGTTTAAGTTTTGGGTCTGAGTATTCGGTGTAAGTATCATTTTTCTAAAAAAAAATGAGTAATAATACTTACACAGATGAGTTAGGCGGAATTGCTAGGCCTATTATATTTTATTTGTCAATATATATCAAATATAAGAAAGTGGGACCTCCACTTTCTCATTTAATGCATTAATGACTAATCAAATTTAGTACTAACTAATCTGTGTAAGTATCATTATTCAAAAAAAAAAAAAATTTTTTTCTTATAAATTATTTGACTCATGATATTTAGGTCCATTTTATTAAAGTGAAATAATTAAAACCATTTATATCTTCAAGTAAAGCCTAAAGTGGAGTTATATTTCAGGCCAATATGACCTTAACCATTTCACATTGACTGAATATCTTTTTCATAATAAAAATAAAACGGAAGAAAAAGTTAGAATGAAACTCGATCGCATGCACCCACTCATGGTCATGGCCCATATTCCATTGATGTTAAATCTGGGGACCTCAAGTCACTTTCGCCATGATTGATGCAGGAGATATGGAGTTACATACATATATATATATATATATATATACATATATATATATATATATATATACACTGAATATCGTTTGAGGTCTGCAGTTGCCACGGTCCAATGACAACGAATTGCCTATAGGTGGAGTATGTTGATTCCATCCGGACCAATTAATTATGGAGCAAGATCTTCTCCTCTTTCATTTTCGAATTGATTTAATAATGTTATAATGTATTATATTTTTGATATAAATGTGTGACATAATTTTTGAAAATTATTATATAAATGCTGCATTGATGGCAGGTTCTTAAATTATGAGTCCGGCTATTTGGGTCGATTTGGCTATAGAAATGGAGGGCTAGGTCCCACCATACAGGGCTGGGTCCCACTTCTCTATGACTCTGTTCGGCTAAGGCCGAATTGGCCTAAATGAAATTCCATTAATTATACCATTCACTTGGATGTTTCAACTTTCAATGCAGAATTAGGGGCTTTCCATAAAAAAACAGAACTAATGAAGAAAATTATATGGATCTTTTAAAATCTTTTCGACTAATTCACGAAGCCCGTGCAAGACGTCTCGCCCTAAAAATCAGGTAAGTCCATCTAATTGTGGATATGTTTGGAATGCATAGTCAAAGTTAGCACTAGAAATGAATTGTCTTTCCGTATTTTGACCACATATAGATGTCCAGATAACATATAGTCAAAAGAGAAATGTCAAAATAGAAATGGATGATAAATGGTATGTGTCAAGAACTTGTCTTTATAGTTGCAAAATACTGTCTTGTTCTTTTGGTTTTTGCCTTGCTGTCTTTGCTTTGTTCTCGTTTGACAGCTTCCTCTACTCTGCTGGTTGGCTGCCCTTTTTGTTTAGCCTTTCGTGGTTCCAAGGATGTGAGTGCGACCCTACATGTTTTGTACATTTTCCTAGTTCGTTTTTTATGTTTTCTTGTTTTCAAATTCATTCGCGGATAGTGCAATATCCGAGTTTTGGCTGCTGATTAACCTATTCGTTTGGCAACCAGCCGCGGGGTTAGATAACTTTTTCCATCATCAATTTTGACCTAGTGCAAAAGAAATGACTTAAATCATCTTCAAATTAAAGCTATGCAACATCACTCAGAAACCCCAAGTTTACTGCATTCTCAAGTACCATGTCAATAGCAGAACAAAAAAATTTATCACATGTTAATAAGAATGAACAGACAAAGGTTGATCAAAGATTTGAGAAAAAATGATGAAGTAAACTACTCTTACAAGGTCTTCTTCATACCCTCTACCCCCTGCTCATAATGAGACACCAATTTTCCAATCCGTCTTCCACAGTTCCAGTGAGGGAGACGGCTAATACTGTCATGTATAAGGTCAGGGTCTACATGATCCTCTCACATGGCATGTAGGGGAAAGCTATGTCAGAAGGCAGTGTGTATGCCCGTGTTTGTCACGATGGAACAAAATTTGTGTTTCAAGCAGGCGCTTAATTCTCTTTTATGCCTCCCAAATAGGAGAACCTTGTTAATTGCTAGAGCAACAAGGTCTTTTTTGGTCACCCGAATAGTCTCCAATGTTAATGGTGGTACCTTGACCAGGAAGCCCAGCTGCCTCCTGAGCTGCCAATGCCTTCCTGCTTATTATCTGATATATGTCGAACAAGATTGCCTGGAATGCTTTCTCAACATTCAATGCTTCCAATGCTGATGTCTCGATGAATGACAGCCCTTCCTTCTCAGCCAAGAGCTGAGCATCTTTATCTGCGACTGCTCTAAGATGATTCAGGTCTGACTTGTTTCCAGCCAACATGATGACAATGTTGGAGTCAGCATGGTCCCTCAATTCATGGAGCCACCTTTGGACATTCTCAAAGGTTTGTCTCTTGGTTATGTCATATACCAGGAGTGCACCAACTGCACCTCTATAATAAGCACTTGTGATGGCCCGGTACCTCTCTTGACCTGCTGTGTCCCATATTTGTGCCTTCACTGTCTTGCCCTCAACCTGCACCAAAATGTTCTTTTAGTTAAATTTGGATGAAAATAAGATCTAGTTTACGTAGAGCAATGCTTGCAGACATAATACATAATTCTATATATCTAGGTTCTCTCAAAGGCCAAAAAGGAAGTGGCAAACCTTGGCTCTCTAAACAGATCTTGTTAGTAAAGTACCAAGCAGAACGATCATTAATTGCCGAAAATCAATATCTACCTCTGATATAAACCTCCAATATTCTTTTTATTGAACCTTTTGATTTGATTATTTCTTGATATTTGAATACATGGTAGTATAACTATTACTTAACCCCCAAAGGGAAACTGACATTATAACACAAACACCTACCTCAAAGTTAAAACATGGTTAAGATTGTATCGAAGACATAATTTCCCATCAACATATTACTTGCAACAGTTCAAATCTAAAAAGTGAAAAACATAGTTCCACTTTTCGTCTGCTGGACTTTCCAACTGAAAAACCACTACGTGAGTAATTCTGAAATGGATTAATGTCCCATCCAAAAATTTGTCAGGTGCAAATAAATGAAATGAGGATGGCAGTCTAGTTCATCAATAATATTTGAATGGGCAGTCCAAAAATATAATTTTTCATTGCAGTGAAAAGGAAAATGGTGGAGGTAAATTCATGCCTGGTCATTATCCATATGCTTAGCATTAAAAAGAAAATTCTCATACCACTTATTTTAAGTTGAAACCAAAAGAAGAAAAGAACACCAGTTGAAGGTCGACAACTAGCATGTTGTAGAGACTGTACAATTAAATATTTAAGTGTAAAACCTTAACAAAACCAATCATACCACGGTGGATGCTACTCCCACTTACTGAACCTTATCATTAACATAATTTCCCATCAACGGGAAGAAGAAAAGAACACCAGTTGCAGGTGGACAACTAGCATGTTGTAGAGACTGTACAATTAAATATTTAAGTGTAAAACCTTAACAAAACCAATCATACCACGGTCGATGCTACTCCCACTTACTGAACCTTATCATTAACATAATTTCCCATCAACGGGCCACTGATGCACTACGATTCCATAATTAAAAAAAGGAGATGCTCCAGCCAGCTGAAATAATGTGCAACTCAACTGGCATCCCATTGAATGAAAGATTGATGAAAAGATGGTTTTCCACTGAACCTTCAAATAAACCCATCCAAATAGCTTTTTCTTACACAAACAATCCAGCAGAAGGTCCATTGATAGGAAAGCCCATGATAGAATAACAGCCAAATGGATTTTCTCTCTCAGAGAACACAAACACTCTCGTGTTACCAGATGAACAACCCAAGTGACAACATCAGAATCATACTAAACAGTGACACCATGATACAACCAGACTAGTTCCATGTTATTGACACACATTTGCTCCTTTACAGATTGAGATGGTCACATTGTACCAATAGGACACAACTATGATATCTACATTCTTGCCAATGTTAAAAATAAAAGAGAGCCTATACATTCTGTTCTAATCACATAAGCAGAGATGTCTGCTTCTAATGCAGATTTCCCAATTACTTTCCCTGCAAAGTGTCTGATTCTGTTCTAATTCTTGAACAACAACCATATAGGTTATGCATATAACCTGCAAAGTGCTATCCAATTCCAGTTCCGCATTTAAAACTTTCACACAATTCCTTTTAAACATAATAGTTCCTATATAGAAGCTTCAAAAGTTAACAAGAAAAAATATCAATTCATGAAGCTAATTTTAACTGGTTAATTTATGCCTTATTGGTAGCTATGAAGGATAAATCTCACTGCATTAGAACTAACTTTGGGTTTGAACTAGGTACTCGTGGTATTTGATTGAAAACCATCCAGCAATTAAGGGCCCATTTGGCAGCCAATTCTATTTCTCATTTTTGATTTCATATGACGCAGAAGTGATGTTTTGTTTGTTGTGATTTATCCCTAGAACATTGTTTGGAACAATATTTTTGCACAATGATTCAAGCAAAAAAAAATTGTTTGGATAATTGTAAAAAATATAGTATTTATATATTATTGGTATTTTATACAAATTCTCGGGCTATGGTTATTCAACTACACTATCAAGAACAAGTGAAAACATCTTTTTCTTGCTTCTAGCTTTGGATTTTTTCTGCGGTACTGTGCAAAACATAACAAACTCTACCAAACATGCTTTCGCCACTTGTTTATGTTTCACTAATATGGTGACAAAAACATGAAACAAAAACGGTTGCCAAACTGGCACTCAATTGGAGGTTTGAAAACAGACTGACAAAGGTTTCAATTTGGTAGTTTAGGATAGCACATGATGCACATCATTGATACACTGATATTAAATTATTAATCGGGCAATCTAATGATGTGGATGAGGATTCTATGTCATGGGTAGGTGCAAGTGATAAATTTAGGTTTTTTTTTCCCTTCTACTCCTGGAATTTCGGGCGTTACAATTTCTCATTCAAGGGGGTACTCCGTGGCTTTGCATCTTGTAATGTTTTTACAAATCCACATGCATATGTGCAGCAGTATTTGCCTTTAAGTGGCAAAGCCTAGCTTGTTTTGTTAATTTCTTGAGTACATTTTATTCTTTTGAGTACTTTACTCCAACTCCAATTCTAAAGCATCAGAAGGGAATATACTTCCAAGCACAACATAAGAGTAATATAAAGGGCTAGTGCACAAGGCTCCGGGTCTGCGGAGGATTTGATGTACGCAATCTTACCTCCGCATTGGGAGAGGCTCACAATGGAGCAATTGTGCCAGGCCCACCCTCATAAGAGTAATATATGAAAAGGAAAATATAAAAACTAAAACTAAGATGGGTTATGGGTGTTAATAGTAATAGAAAGTTATAATAGTAAGGCGTTATGACTATTGGAGCAGAGTGACATAACCAACATTTAGTGATACCAAAGAAACCACAATTGGACAAAAACAAAAGCCACAAGAAGAAGTTCAAAATTGTAGATCAACAAAACATAAAATAAATGTAGCAAAGGACATTGGGAATAACCTGAAGAGTTCTGGTAGCGAATTCGACTCCAATGGTGGATTTAGACTCCAAGCAGAACTCATTCCGTGTAAATCTCGAAAGAATGTTGGATTTTCCGACACCGGAATCTCCAATCAGGACGATCTTGAAAAGGTAATCGTACTCGTGATCTACCTTATATGCCATTGATTCTTCTCCCTAAACCTCCCACAAAACCTACACGGATCCAATCACAATTCATTTAAACAGAGAAAATATGCAACCATCCACGTAATGCCAAGAAGCAAAACCGAATCCCGGCCTATTTTCCGTTTGTTTCTCGGGAAAAGTATACAGCCTCAAATATGGCTTCTCTAATTAGCATTTTCTTTTCTGTCTTTAATTTATAGTATAAGAGAAACAGGAGAAACTAACCATAAACTAATGATGCTTTGGATGATGGGAAGCACTGCAATGGAGATATTCGATGCAAAGAATTGCAGAGAATTTTAGAGAGAGAAAAAATTTCCAAATTTAATCAAAAGAAACAGAATAACCGATGGAGCAGGAATTTAACCGGCCAATCAGTGGTATCGAATCAGCAAAACTCGGCAAATTTAAAAATGTGTCTTTAATGTGTGTATAACATACAGGTCTGTTTGGTTGCCACGAATATGGTGACTTCAGCATTTCAAAACCTGATGAATCCTGATGAATGCTTGGCATCCACACAGGTGATGATGTGGCGCTATCAAATATTGACACATTTTTCATATTAAAAATATTATTAAAAACTAAAAATAAGTCGAACCCGTTTTAAACCGGGTCTCAAGTAAACCCATTTGAAAAAAAACAAAAAAGCTCTTCCCCACTTTCATGTTTTGCAACTTCGGATACGGTGATGGCAGCGGCGGTGGAGTGGTGGCGAAGGGAAATAAAAATCCCTAATTCCAACCACGTTCACTCCCGACAATCACAATCACCGCCACCATAGTCGGCCGCGGCCCAAGCGGTTCGTTAAGAACCAAATCCCGGACTCCATCACCACCAACGCCGCCCTGGGTCTCCTACCTTCCAACTACAACTTCCAGGTCCACAAGTGCGTCTGGCGCGCGCTCTCCAGTTCCCCGAGGGCCTCCTCATGTACTCTCTCGTCCTCTCCGACATCTTCGCCACCGTCGATCACTGGTTCGCCCTCGGCGACGTCTCCTACCGCCATGATCTACTAATACATTATGGCTACAGCTGTCTCGTCCTTATGGAATCCACCGTTATCCCCCGTCTCTAAGTCTTCGTCGAGGTACGGTGGTCGCGAGGAGCGAGGAGGGTTCCGCCACGGACGGCGGAGGATCGAGTGTGACAGCAGGAAAGGTACTGATGGAGATATCCAAACGGGTTTTTACTTGAAACCCTGTTAAAAACGGGTTTGAACCTCGTTTCCTCTCCTTTTAATAATAATAATAATTTGGGACAGTTGTGAACATTAGATTGGACCACATCCACCAAAGTTTTGTCCCCTAACTTTTTGTTGCAAAGGGCTACAGAACCAGGGAGGTTGGGGAATGCATTGGTCCTGTACTCTCTTTCAGTGTCTTGAATCATTCTCTCTTTGTATAACATAAAGAGATGAAATTCTTGCTTTGTTTTACCTTTCCAAAAAACAAAAGGAAGAAGGGGAGTGGGACAAAATGAATGTGCTTTATTTAATACATAAAGTGTTTTTTAAGAGTTATTGTGTAAGCATATGACATTATTAATAATATATATTTTTTCTTTTCAAACTTCCATTAATCATGAATGGAAACATCTGGCTAATTTAAACCTTCCATACATATATATTTTTTCCTGAGCTTATTGTCCCAATATTTTGGGAGAGAACCCTCTACCTTTTTGTTCTTTCCCAGATCGCCTAGAGGACAGATTGTTGACATTTATGTTTATGTCCTCCTAATTTTGTAAACGTGTTTGAAAATCATGAATTGACTGATCTTGTCAGCATTTTTGTCCCCAAGCTCAAAGGCACTCGTAGGAGTGCATTTCACTTTCATGAATCAATGAATTTATGCTGAGAGAGCTAGCTCGAACTCGAACTTCCAAAAAATGTTATGATTCGAGAAAGATGTGGATTATCGAGAGAGAGAGCCTACTTTATTTTGTATAAAAATGACGACTCCAAGACTCGAATTTGCCTCATCTAATTTATCAACTCAACGTTTTCTCATTGCACAAAGCATTGGCTATGTCCATATTAACCAAGTTAAATGGCCAATGATGACTTAGCTTGTGCATGCCAAATGTGTCTATCCAACCCTCCAGTTTTCTAAACTACAGAGGACATAATGTTCCAGCTACAAATGTCATTTTCTATTTGAAAGACATGGAAAAAGTCGATCATTGGTACTTTATTATCACTTCTGTAGGAGAAATTCAGACAAATACATTGTTAAAGTCGGCTTTGGACGGGTTTTCTTGTTAGGCGGGTATAACAATTTCAGCTTGAGAAACCGATGTGTGGAGTACTAGTTCCACATGTACTTTTTTTATGTTATAAAATCCCGTTCTTCGTTAGTTGCATGGAAATATCTGCAAAAGTGCTCAAGCTTTTGAGACACCCCTCGAATGGCTAGTCAAACCTCTCCTTCATGGCTTATCGTGATGAGCATTACTTGTGCTCTGCTTATTAGCTGCATCAGAGCATCTGATGGAGATCAAAAGGCATGTATATATCTATATTATGATTCATATTGCTTTTAAGGTTTTTAGAGCTTGGTCATGCAATGAACAACGCTTGTTAGTTGCATTATCAACAAACTTCATCGATAAAGATTACTTTTTATATGACCAAGATGTTGATAGTGAGACCTCGTATTAAGTTATTGATCTTACGGTATATCTCAGTTTCGAGGATGATACCAAAGATATGTATTAATTTGATCCTGCATTGCGCTCGCTATATTACAGGCCTTTGGCTTGGAATAATTGACAGGCTTCTTCTAGCTTTCTTCTGGACACATCCTGCTTATTTAAGATTAGGCCTTGGGCTGAACCTAAAATACTATAGCAATGCTGAATAATTAGCACAAAATATTGCTTGTTTTTGCCTTGGGACTTTGATCTTCCATGCTTAAATGGATCATGATATCCCCTGATTGAAATAAAAAAGTTGACCTGGTGCTTAAAAACGAATTCTGAAGCAGCATTGACACACACACGCACACATTTACGGAGATTAATTATTTGATCTTGGTTTAGAAACGTCAGTGCTGATAGAATTATTTAGAATTGATCATTTTGTGATTGCAGGTATACATTGTGTACATGGGTGATCTTCCCAAGGGTGAAATCTCTGCATCTTCCATCCATACGAGCATGCTACAAGAAGTTGTTGGCAGGTGACTACATATACTTGTATATATGTATATATAGTAGAGACCATATATATATATATATGTATAAACATGTCAAAAGGCAGTATATAATATGATTTTAAGTGGTGTTATTGTAATGCGGTACTCACAAAATTGAACATGCTCAATGCAATTTCTTGTCACATTTGCATTGAATCCTTCGGGCACAAATTGTTAACCATGAAGTAATAACATAAGAAAAAAAATTCTTATTTCTGTACTGGCAAAGAAGATTGTGATTTTCAATACCATTTTTTTTTTTTTTTTTTCCTTCTTTATATTTAATATCCTCTTCAATCAAGCAAAAAACTCCATCAGCCGGCTAAAATCTTAGGAATTTCTTTTGCCATTGGAAGTATGTCTATGTATTTGACCTTTTGAATGAACAAAACTCTCCAAGCTGTCAGAAAAAAGTTCCTATATATCCTCAAGATGTTTTTATTTGGCAAGTACGAAAGTGTGTAGATAAAAAACAATTTATTCCCCCATTTACAAGAACCTCAAGAGTAGTTACTTTGCTTTCTGCAATAATTTACAGGCAATGTTTATAATAATTGAGGAGAAATTTATTTAATTTTTTTTTCCAGAAAGTGACATTTATTTAAAATTGTGTAACAAATTTTTACTGGTATAAAGAAACAAGTAATTGTTAGAAGAGATGAGTCTGAAATTAACTTTGACATGTAAAATTGTCTCACACACTAAGTAGTAAGTACCCAACCGACACCTAAATTTCTCTGATATAAGACATTCATAATAGTCACATGCATCCAAGAAGAAACTTATGTTAGAATGTCCAACAAGATGACAATGTCTACTATAATGCCTTTTATCACGAGAAGAAATGATATTGGCACTTCTTATAGCCCCAACATCCCTAGAAATTTATATTAACCTACTTCTTTAATGGTGGTGTTCAACAGTAGGGCATCGGAATCTATACTCTATAGCTACAAGAAGAGCTTTAGTGGGTTTGTAGCAAAGCTGACAAAGGAAGAGAAGGAGAAAATTGCCAGTGGGTGATTTATAATATCATTTAATTATTTAATCTATCCCCCATGATTTGTTTGCCCTACCCCTCCTCTCCTAACTCTGCTTTAACTTCCAAAAAAATTCAGGCATGGAAGGAGTAGTGTCCGTGTTCCCTAATGAAAAGAAGAAACTCCACACAACAAGGTCATGGGACTTCATGGGCTTCCCTCAAGAAGCTCAAAGAGGTGCTGAAAGCGACATCATTGTTGGAATGCTGGACACTGGGATTTGGCCTGAATCCGAGAGTTTCAATGATACAGGATATGGTCCACCTCCAAGCAAATGGAAGGGCTCTTGCCAATCCTCAACGAATTTCACTTGCAACAAGTACATACCAATTACATTCCTATAAATGCATAAATGGATATATTGGTTGTGCAGCCACTAAAATTTAGATTACTTTGCAGTAAAATTATAGGAGCTAAATACTACCATAGTGATGGACCAGTAGGTCCAGATGATTTTGCTTCACCAAGAGATTCTGAAGGTCATGGGACACACACTGCATCTACAGCAGCAGGGGCCATAGTCAACGGTGCAAGCTTATTAGGCCTTGGCTTGGGTACAGCCCGGGGAGGGGTTCCCTCGGCTCGCATTGCAGTGTACAAGATATGTTGGGCTGATGGTTGTTCAACCGCCGACATCCTTGCAGCATTTGATGATGCAATTGCTGATGGAGTAGATATAATATCACTTTCGGTTGGGGGGTCCTTTCCATTGGATTACTTTGAAGATCCAATTGCCATTGGAGCTTTCCATTCTATGAAGAACGGAATACTCACATCCAATTCTGCTGGTAATTCAGGTCCTGATTCTGAAAGCATCTCAAATTTCTCACCATGGTCTCTCTCAGTGGCTGCTAGCACCATAGACAGAAAGTTTGTGACAATGGTGCAGTTGGGCAACAATGTGACTTATATGGTGAGCAACCATTTATGTAATATGCCTTCTCTTGCATATCTCTCTATATATAGCTATTTCTAGATTGTTGACATAATATTCACAATTCATCACTTACCCATTAATAGGTGTATCTGTTTGATTTATGCCATCCAATTAATGGGTCATAGTTTATGTTGTCCTCTGCCCTTTAAATTAATGTGCTTTGTGATATAGTTCTATACTCTCTTTACATGTAGGGATACACTATAAACACTTTTGACATGAAGGATCAGTACCCTCTAGTTTATGGTGGGGATGCACCAAATACTCGAGCTGGTTTTGATGGATCTGAATCCAGGTAAGGAAGAAAAAAGAAATGTTGATAAATTATTTATTTATTTATTTCTATCAATGATGATAGTAATGAAAATCAAGCTTAATCATGTAGTTACATCATAGATAATTGAGGATTGTAAAATGCATAAAAAAAATGATCATGATAAAATGCAGGTACTGCATTTCAGACTCATTGGACCCGACTTTAGTGAATGGCACAATCGTTCTATGTGATGAGCAGAGTGAAGGGGACGCAGCATTCGCCGCGGGTGCAGTCGGTACCATAATGAACGATGATGGCTTCAAAGATTATAGCTTTTCTTACATTTTGCCTGCCTCCTACTTGAGCTCTAAAGATGGCAGTGGTGTTTACCAGTACATAAATTCAACTGTAAATTCAACTAGGTATATATATATATATATATATATATATATAAGGTTTCTAGACAATATTTCTTTTGACACTTTATTAATAACAACACATTTGACAATTTGGATAAATCCAACTCTACAGTATGCCCACTGCAGCTATTATGAAGAGTATCGAGACTAAAGACAAATTGGCTCCATTTGTAGTTTCATTTTCATCAAGAGGGCCAAATCCAATTACATTGGACATTCTCAAGGTATCTTATACATATATGCATACATACATACATATATAGGTTCTGGTTTTAAATCGCCACACTATATTTTTGTGCAGCCTGACTTAACTGCTCCTGGAGTGGACATTGTTGCTGCATGGTCACAGGCTACCACTGTGACGGGGTCACCGGGAGACAAGAGAGTAGTTCCATACAATATAATTTCCGGCACATCCATGTCTTGCCCACATGCTACCGGAGCGGCTGCCTATGTGAAATCGTTTAACCCCGGATGGTCCCCTGCTGCTATTAAGTCTGCTCTAATGACAACTGGTAATTAAATTACTTGTAATTTTTCTTAAGGCAAGTTAGCAAGCAATTCCAAACAAAAAGAAGGAAAAGTTTACTCAAGACGTTTAATTTTATGTATTGGAATACATCCATTATTTGTAGCTAACATGACCATTCTTCTTTTGTTCTTTGCAGCTTCTATTATGAGTGCAGTCACTAACACAGATGCTGAGTTTGCATACGGGTCTGGTCACATTGATCCTCTAAAGGCTGCAAAACCTGGTTTAGTATACGATGCTGGAGCGCTTGACTACGTGAAGTTTTTGTGTGGGCAAGGTTATAGCACCAAGTCATTGCAACTGGTCACTGGAGACAATAGTAGTTGCTCTGCAGCCAACAATGGAACTGTTTGGGATCTAAATTATCCTTCTTTTGCTCTATCTTCTCACACTAAACAACCCATCACCCGTGTCTTCCACAGGACCGTCACCAATGTTGGTTCACCGGTGTCCACTTACAAGGCAACTGTGGTAGCCCCTGCAGGACTTACGATCCTAGTCGAGCCGAGTGTCCTTACATTCAAGTCAATAGGTCAGAAGCAATCCTTTGTGGTTACAGTCACAGCGGCCCTAAACAATAATGCACTTTCCGGGTCTTTGGTGTGGGATGATGGGGTGTATCAAGTGAGGAGCCCCATTGTGGCATATTCGTCCTTTTGAAAATTTATTTATGTTGGACAATAAAATTTTGTTGATCAACATGTTGTTTCATTCAAAATGAAATAAAAGAGAAGCATGGTGTGTTTCTGATTACAATGAAGAAAATTGCCTCCTTTATTCATAGATAGCTAGCCAATTGGCTTCCAAGTACAATGGTATAAAAGCACAAAGGATCAATCAAACAATTGTGAATAAGTCCCCAAGTCAGAAAATTAGATTAGAATGACAATATGTAATTGACCAAGCTCTCTTGGGATTGGTATGAAGAGCCACCTTTCCTAGGACAAAGATCTGCCTTTTCCTTCAAGCACATTATTCTCTCTCTCATCTCTTTCCCTTCACTCTCCATTAGTTTTCTGATTGCTCTTTCCACCTCCCCTCTCTCCATCCCATTCTCCAATTGTATCCCAACTCTCCAAACATGGCCTGTGTATCTTGCGATCCCCTTCTGGTCACCGGAACAAGGATAACAGATCATTGGAACTCCTTCACAAATGCTCTCTTAACGTTGAATTCCATCCGTTGCGAGTAAAAAAGCCTCCTGTGGCAGGATGAGCCAGCGCTTGGTGTTGGGGAGCCCGTTTTACAATATATCCCCTTCCGCTCACAGCCTCCAGGAACCCATTTGGCAGTGGTTCAAGCCGTTCTGAGCCACGTATTAGTCCTGGTCGAACCACCCACAAGAATGGCTGCCTGCTGTTGGCTAGCCCCCAAGCCATCTCCAAGAATTCGGTTTCATTAATTGTTGCAAGACTCCCAAAGCTCACATATATAACTGACTTGGGTGCTTGTGTGTCTAACAAAGAAATGGAGCTTGGGTCTTGTGCTAATAAGCTACATGAGGCAGTCGGTAAGTACTTGTGTAATGGGCCTACCGGGAAGATTGGGATGACAAAGTGTTGGCGAAGTGTGTCCAGTGCAGGTTGTTCAAGTTCTTCGAAGGAGTTCCAAATGAGTCCGGAAGAAGCCTCGGTTGCTTTTACCATGCCATTTGATAGTTGGCCGTCGGAGTGTCTTTCATTCTAAGTGGAGAAAGCATTTGAACTGGTGCTTCCGATTGTGAATCTGTGAAGAAGATCACCATTTGAATATGAGTTACATTGCATCAATTGGTGATTACACGCGAGTGACTTGAACTTGAGACCTCTGCTACCGTCCCTTTTCACAAAAGGAGTAACTTGTTCTTTATGTAATAAAATAAAGAACTAACAAACATAGGGAAATTTTAGAAAATTTTACTCTTTCCTTTGTATGGAATTGGAGCTTGGAATTTGAATTTGTGGAATTGGAGAAAAGTAACTGTTGGCACCAAAAACTGGCAGCCATCTCAGCGATGACATGGACCAATGAAGAATTGACAAGTGTTTATTATGTCTTAAAAAAAGACGGTCAATTGAGAAACAAGAGGAGAAAATTTAGGAATTCAGCCACCTTATCCCGTAAGGTTGTTGCTGAAATTTGGTAATTAATATTTGAGTTAATTCAAATATATTATTTCAGTTTGGATAAAAGAGATTTAGTTGGAATGAGATTCCTATGAAATAGGAATTTCGTTGCAAAGGAATAAGGAATTCAAAGGAGAGGCCGTCACGTGAGGGATAATTTGGGCAAAAGCTATAAATGGTCTTCCAGCCATTTAAGGGAAGTTTTCAGCCTAACATAAGGAAAGGAGTTGCTAAAAGTTAGCAACTTTCCAGCAACTTTTCAGCATGTTTCTCGACAACTTGCATTTGACTGGATCAAGGAGAGATTTTCAGCATGTTTCTCGACAACTTGCATTTGACTGGATCAAGGAGAGATTTCAGCAAGGACTTTCCTATTGAAGCAAGAAGAGAAGAGACGCAAAAGACTACTGGAACGTGGTTTAGTTTGAGTAATAAAGTGAAGAAAATCAAGGAGCAAATAGATTTTCTAGCAATTAATTAGGAAAATAAGTTGAGATAGAACTTCTATAAATAGAAGTATTGTATTCCATTCTAATTCGTCCAGCACCACCACAAAACATGCATTTCAACTAAAAATGTTTTCAATTGACTCTACGTCATTTTCCTATCAATTTCTTTATTTCAATTTAATGGCAATTGATTAGATCCTCGTCAACTATTTCGATTCAGCCATTTACTTTCTTTCAATTTCAATTATGCCAATTTTAATTACGCAATTTTAGTTAGGCTTTCAATTCAATGGCAATTGATTAAATTCTTGCCATTGAATCGTAGTGACAATTGATTAAATTATTGTCATTACTTGGCTGATGGCAATTGATTAAATTCTTGCTATCATGTTTCAGTGGCGATCGATTAAATTCTTGCCATTGTGTTTGGCTGGTGGCGATCGATTAAATTCTTGGCATTGTGTTTGGCTGATGGCGATTGATTAAGTTTTCGCCATCATGTTCGGCCGGCGATCGATTAAGTTCTTGCCGCCTGTCTTCACTCGGCCATTCCATCCATTCAAACATCCATCAGCCGTTGCATTTCTTTAGACACTCTAAAAAGTCCTTGCTACAAATAAGGCATAAAAGAACCTTGCTGGGAGTTCTTACTAGTCTCTCTCCCACACAATCGCCTGATAGTCAGCCATCGGAAAAAGGGATAGGCTGGTGTTCAATTACATATTTTGGGTATTTTGTACAAATACTCTGGCACGTCCGCGAAGAGTCCATCGACCGGCGTAGGGAACAAAAACCGCGCGAACACGTTTTGGCACGCCCGGTGGGACCACTACTAGAGTGTTATAAAAGAGGCAAATATGCCGCGGCCCACAAAAAATTCTAAGGCCGTGGCTACTGATGAAGATTTGGAGGAAGACGATCAGCCAGTACAGGCTGAGAACTCTGTAGCAGGTCCTACTGATGAGTTAGCCGTACTTCAAGCACAGGTTAGCTCCTTGGTAGATGCAATGGGAAGGATGGGAGCACGCTACAACGACTTGCATGAAAATATGTCCCAACTCTCAGCCTTTATTTTGAACAAGCCGACTCAAGCTAGCAGCTCCAACAATCAGGAATCGGCTTCTCAGCCGAATCTATCACAAGCTGCTCGGCCAGAGAGGGCCATTGAAACATCACTACCATGGCCGCCAGTAGTGACACTCCAACCAGGTGCAACATCAAGTTAGTCGGTTCATACGCTACTCACCTGGGCAGAAAGCTATCCTCAGCCTACGTTGGCAGGTTCTAATCAGCCACCAGTAGCAGGTTCGCAGCCACAGGTAATTCTACCAAACCCTCCTCGGATGCCTTTGAACTCGGGGGGCAATCAGATCAGGTGGAGGCCACCGAACCCACTGTATACTCATGTGCTGCCACAGGTAGGGCTCGGGGGGCAGAATATGGCTAATCAGCCACATGATTGGCCGAATTGCTATCAACCAGCGGCTAATCAGCTGCCAGTTTTTAATCAGGTACCACTAATATTAAATCAGCCACCTCAAGTCATGTTAGATAGAAGACAATTAGCTGATTTACTCACAGAAGAATATAGCCTGGAACTTAGAGGTGCCAGCCAACCAATTTATAGAACTCCTTATCCAGAAGTGGTAGACCAAGTTGAGTTCCCTAGAGGATATAAAGTCCCTGACTTTGTAACCTTTAGTGGAGAGGGGAATCAATCGACCGTGGAACACATTGGCCGATTCACGGTTCAATGTGGAGAGGCCAGTGTTAGCCCGTGGTTGAAATTGAGACTTTTTCCTAACTTTTTGATAGGCGCAGCTTTTTCATGGTATATTCGTCTACCTCCTAACTCTGTTTTTAATTGGCCACAGATGGAGGAATTATTCCACAATCAGTTCTACCGTATGGAGACAGAACCTACTCTGGCCGATTTATCCAGGCTAAGTCAATTGCCTAGTGAATCAATCGAGACATTCATTGCAAGATTCAGGAGAGCAAGATTAAGATGTCGTGTACCTCTTCCAGAACAGGAGTACATTCGTTTGGCTTTAAACGACCTTGATTTTGAACTTCGGAAGAGGTTTGAAGGAGTTCTATTTTGTGACATGTATGACCTGGCCAAGAAAGCTACCAGGTATGAGTTGGTTCTCAAAGAGGAGAAAGAACGAAAAATTCCTCTAAAGGTACGTACTATAGGGACCCCAACTATGAAGTTTATTCAACTGATGTGGTTGAAGAGGAAGATTTTGAAGCTAATTTAGCCGAAGTCATTCTAAAGAAGCCTTATGTATGTGACGCTTTAACAAAACCAAATGTATCCACCAGTGGTACTCAGCCATCGACTTCATCGGCCAGGAAGGGTACGGCTGATACTGGTAAGGTTTATACGTTTGATCTGGCCAAAACAGAACAAATTTTTAATCATTTGTTGGCTGACAAACAAATCGTTTTGCCAAAAGGACATAATATACCATCGACCAATGATTTAAAAGGAAGAGAGTTCTGCAAATTTCATAATTCATGGAATCATACTACTAACAATTGTTATGTAATTAGAAATGTATTGCAGAAATCTATCGATGAAGGTTTGAAATTCCCTGAAAAGAAGCCAGATGTAATGGGGGTCGATGGCAATCCATTTCCTAATATTGTCAGTACCAATGTAATCAGCCTGGCAACTGAAAAAGCCGCTGATAATGGTAGACAGGAAAGATTACCAAAAGTTCTTGGTAGTTCATCGGCCAGTGATGATGAGCAGAAAGTTAAGGACTTGGAAATTCAGTTAAGAGAAGCTCAAATTGCCCTCATCAACCATGGTTGTTGTCCAAATTGCAAAGGCCGAAGGAATGACTTAGACAAGAGGGGCTATTTCCAATCAACCAGAAAGCGTAGTGTCCATGAGAGGTTAGGCCATCAGCCTAGACAGAATCACGAAGAAATCAATCGATCAATATTTAGAGAAAATGGGCTGAGGGCAGTAAGAATCATTCGGTCATCGGTGGCCGACAGAGTCCTGCCAGAACAACATTTTTATCCTAGTTTCAAAAGGAAACCAACAATTTAGTCAGAAATATGGGTTCAAAAAGGAGAAGAATCTAGTCGT